GCCCGCTCCGGCTCCCGCTCCCGCTCCCGCTCCCGGGCGGGCGGGGCAGGCCCCGAGCCCTGCGCGCGTGCTGCCTGCCGCTAGTGTCCCCGCCGCGCGAGGGGCGGAGGCGGCCTTGGCGGCCTGGAGGGCCGGAGACCCCTTTGCGCCGCGGGTCCCGGCTCCCCGTCGCCCAGTCACCCCGCGTCGACGAGGGCGGGCGCAGTGCGAACGAGCGGCCTTGGGGACGAGCAGTGCCCTGGGCGCTGTCTGTCGGGGTGGCAGACGCAGACCTGGCCCTGCGAAGGTTGATGACCAGGGCAGGCGGTGCAGAGAGCCGGGCCCCAGCGAGGGACGGTCGGGGCGGGCGGCGGAGCTGGTGCCGGGGTCCTCGGGGCGGAAACCGAGGCGGAGGAGGAAAGAACAAGGCACACCCACAGCCCTGGCCCCGCGCCTTCCGCTACCCCCAGCACCTCCCCCGTCCTCCAGAGCGGCAGTGACGGACAAGGGCCTATGCCAGGCCCGGCCCTGCTGCCAAGACCCATTAGTGAAGAACGCCGGATTCTGTATGACCAAATGTTTAAAACCTCCTACAAAAGCCCAAGTAATGAAGAATAGAAAGGATTTATCAAGCCAGTATTTCGTCTTCTCCATGTTTGTAGTTCATGATGGTTAAAATCTTTACTACTGATGCCAAATACCTTTTGTCAATTACCCTGATTTGTTAAAAAAAAAAAAAAAGCCTGAACATCGCAGCCGGCGGAGCTGGCCTCCCGGAGTCCCTGCCCGGCGTTCCCGTGCTGCGCAGCAGCCCCTGGGCAGAAACGTCCGCTTGGGGCTTGTCTCCGGAGGAAATAGGAGGCCCGTTGACAGGCTTGAGACCGTGTATCGCCTGCCTGCCCTGTAGGCGCTGCGCGAGGCCGAGCCCCAGGAATCCCCTTTGCCTGGCAAGCCCTCATCCTCCAGTGGGCTCCCACAGGTTCCCCGGGCCCACGTCTAGTTCTGGGTGGCAGGGGCTGTCCCTGGCGGTGCCGGTGCTCCCTCTGGAACTGCTTGTAGTGGGGGACAAGCTTGACTGAATGTAAATGATCCTCACCCTGGCCTCTCGGCACCCCGTTTGACTCCCTGCCAACGTCAGTGTGGCTCTGACAGGATTTACCATCTGGGCCTGGTGGGAGCTGAGGCTGCAGACCCCCTTGAAGCCAGCGTTCATGTGGGCAGGGTGTCTGCAGTCGCCTCCACTGGGTTCCGGGCGTGAGGTCATTGAGGCCAGGCCTTCCAGGAAGGCCATCCCGTTCTGTAGCCTGGGGTGCGTGCTATATGCTCCCAACACGTGCACAGACGTGACGTGGACAAAACAATTTCCGTTTGTGGTTGGGGATTGGCATGGCCGACCTTCCCGCATCTGCGTTTGGGTGCTGGGCCTGGCGCCAAGGGTTTCTCCGTAGCTGGAGGGCAGGAGACAGGCTGCCCGGTACCAGAGCACCAGAAACGAGCGAATGGCAAAGGCAGGTCTGCAGAGGGTCTTCCTTGAGTATTCAGCAGAGTAGAGCCCCCAGAAATAAACCCTCACATGGATGGTCAAAGGATTTTTGACAAGGTATCAAGACCAAGGGAGAAAGGACCATCCTTTCAACAAACAATGCTGGGAGAACTAAGTATCCACATGAAGTTGACCTTTCCCTCACATCACATACAAAAACTAACTCAGAATGGATCAAGGGCCTGAATGAAAGACCTAAAACTATAAAACCCTTAGAAGAAAACACAGGACAAAAGCTTCACAACTTGGATTTGGCAGTGGTTTCTTAGAGCTATCACCAAAGGCACAGGCAACGGCAACGAAAAAGAGTTGATGAAAATATTTAAATCTGTGCATCAAAAAACCATTGACAGGGTAAAAAGGCAACCTACAGAAAGGGAGAAAGCATTTGCAGATCATAAGTACATCTGATGAGGAATTAATATCTAGAAAAATAGAGAACTAAAGCTAAACAGTAAAAAAAAAAAAAAAAATGCAAAAGTAAGCAAAAAACTCCAATAGGTGTCTCTCCAAAGAAGATAAACAAATGACCAGTAAGTATAAAAAAAAAAAAAAAATGATGCAAAAGTAAGCAAAAAACTCCAACAGACGTCTCTCCAAAGAAGATAAACAAATGACCGGTTAAGTACATTTAAAGATGGTCAACGTCACTAATCAGAGAAATGCAACTCAAAACTGCAGTGAAAATACCGCTCACACCGGTAGGATGGAATCCATTTAAAAATTTAAAAAACAGCCCTGGCGAGGACGTGGAGGAACGGGAGCCCTTGTGCACTGTTGGTGGGAACGTAAAATGGTGCAGCTGCCATGGAAAACAACATGGCGGCTGCTCAAAAAGTTAAAGCTAGAATCATCGTTTGATGCAGCGATTCGTCTTCAGATACCTTCCTAAAAAAACTGAAAGCAGGGTCTTGGCGGGACTCACACACCCGCGTTCGCAGCTGCGTATTCGCAGCAGCAGACGGTGGAAGCAACGCAAGCGGCCATTGACGGATGAACGAGAGCGCAGGATGCAAGCGCGTAAAACAGCATCATGCAACCTGGACGGGGAAGAAAATTGTGACACAGGCATATGGATGAACCCTGAGGACATAATGCTGAGTGAAATAAGCCACGAGAAGACATACTGCATGATTCCACTTACATGAGCTACTTAGCATCAAAATCAGGGAGGAGAATTGTGGGTGCCAGTGTCTGAGGAGAGGAGGGGGTGGTGTTCAATGGGTGTAGCGTTTGAAAAAGTTCTGAAGATGGGCAGCGCGCATAGTAGTATGTCATTAGTGTGATGCCAGCGAGATGTACACTTAACGGACGAGAAGTTTCCTGTCACACATTCTACCACAATCAGAGCAAATGTTTAAGACCGTAGGACACGCAGGCACATGGGCGCACAGGCATAGGCACCACAGTCTCCTCTCCCTGGGCTGGTCCCGAGGCCAAGGTCTTCAAAGGGAAACTGGTCCCCACCCCTGGGCCTGTGAAATCTGGGTGAGCCCTTGTTAAGAAACCCTGCCATCCAGAGTCCCAGACCCTACAGGGAGGAGCGAGTGGTCCCTGGAGGGAGCAGAGAGGGCCTCGGCAGCAGGGCCTCCTGGCACCTGTGGGGGACGGGCCGCAAGCTGCCAGATGTTGGCAGCTGGGAGGAATGCCCCCATATCCCACCTGCACTGTCCCCAGCAGCCACTGCAGGGCGTCCGAGAGCCGCACCTGGCCCTGCACACAGCCCTGGGAGGGGCCCAAAGCCAGACTGCGGGTCTGCTCCCTGCCCACTTGGCTGAGTCCCCTCCCTGGGCTCCAGGCCCCTGGCCTCGCCCAGGGGATAAATTGCCGCTGAGGGGTCTCCGGGTTGGGGAAGAGCCAGAGGCCAGGTGGGATGAAGGGAGCGGGGAGGACCTGGCACTTGACACGTCAGAGCGGGCAAGTCCCAGGGCGACCGTCAGGGACTCAGATCAGCAGCTGGTTCCAGTCAGGGTTCTGGAGCACCCCCTGGCCACTCCGGAACATGCACCTCTTCCTGCCCTCAAAGTGCTCCCCAGCTTTTGTGGCACCAGGGACCGGGGCTCCTATGAGCATCTAACGCCTGATGGTCTGAGGTGGAGCTGAGGCGGTGATGCTGGCGCTGGGAGCGGATGCAGATGCAGATGAAGCTTCGCTCGTTTACCCGCCACTCACCTCCTGCTTTGCGGCCCGGTTCCTAACAGGCCAGGGACTGGTACTGGTCCACGGCCGGGGGCGGGGGTCGGGGGGGCTGCTCTACACAACCTCGACTGCCAATACGTCAGCATCACAGGCAGAGCGCATGCTGTCCCTCTGCCTCCTGGCTGTGTGACCTTAAACAAGATGGCTGTCTCCTCCTCCCAGCTGTCAGTCAGGGGCAATGATGATGGAGTCATCCCGCAGGCCTGGGGTCATCTGCATTCACGCACATGCAGTGCTCAGAAAGGCTGTGGCACTCAGTAGGCCCTCAGCATGGCAGCACTCGCCATGGCCACCATCCCCATCATCGTCATCGTCGTCATCACCACCGTCCCTATCATCGTCATCATCACCAGCACTATCATCACCATCATCACCATTGTCCCATCATCACCATCGCCACTGTCACCCTCACTACCGTGGTTACCATCGCCATCGCCATCATTGGTATGTCGTGTCCCCAGTTCACGTGGATAGATTCGAATCCTGGACTGGTGACTTCAGAAGCTGTTCTGTAACCACCCCAGTCTTGTACCGGTCCCAATTCGGGCTGTCCAGACAGACGACAGTGGCCAGTGCATGTGGTTGGTGTCTGTGCAGCGGCCCTGCCCCTTCTCAGTACCACCTGTGAGCTCACCTCACCGACAGGTAGGAGGCTGTCGCACCTGGCGCTGCAGCCCTCCAGGGGAGGCTCCCGCCTCCTCTCAGATCAGCTATTTCTGGGCCCGGCAGGGCCAGGCCGACCTGAGACGCATTGTGTGGAAGGGAACAGCCTCGAACCAGGACACTTCCTTCCTGACCGGGGTGAGCAGCGGGTCAGGGCCAA